CTAAAATGTAAATACTTAAAAGTTGTGCCGAACTTCACGATGAAGATTTGAGAGTGTTCGGAGTCAATTGGATAAAGGAAGACGTCAATGGAATCAAATTTAGGCAAAAGATGATCACAAATCAATTTCCAACCGAAAAGTTATGCTATGATATTTTAGTTTCATATTGAAACCTATTTTTGGCATAGAAAGTGATCGAATTGAAGAATGATGTCTGAATCAAAGTTGTAGCCAGATGAGTTGGCTTTCCAACGCATTTTGAATCGCCTCAATCGGATATCGGAATACAAAGTTATGATAAAAATATTGAAAGAAGGTGCAGCCGCTTGTTTAAAACAAGAAATTCCGTTACATAATCCGTTAAAGCAACAAATTCCTTTAGTTTTTCCGTTAAAAACAAGAAATTCAGTTACATAGCCACTTTTAATATATAGAAGATATGAAAATAGATTATAATTTAACCAATTAAACATAATTACCCATTAACTTTGATAATAACTAGAGAATTTAATCTAATTAATTCTTAATTAACTTGAATACGTTTGATTTGAATTATTTACCTAGCCGTTTGAGTTGTTTTAAAAGTCACGTGAGATATATACATGTTGTGAGCCTGTGAGGTGAGAGTGTTTTATTGTAGAAAAATTCATAAGTTGATTTCTATTTTTATACACGCACTCTGTTCTTTTCTATATTATCATTTCAAACCATATTTTCAGAATATAGGTGTCAACGGGGGTAAGAATACTTTGTGCAAGTGGTAAATTCTTATTTCTTGATATTTATATAAATTTTGGCATGAAATACTATAAGGCCTTGTGGTCGATTTATATGTTAAATTCTTCAGGATAGATCGTTTGGTCAAATGTGTAAATCCTACGGGATATATGAATTCTTAAGAAATTTCTTGAGTTATTGGATATCGCGACCAATTTGTTCTAAATCTAAGAATATCGGTATATTATATCATGTTAAATAAGAATATGCACATATTTTTACTGAGTGTTTTCAAAATATTCACTCCGACAATAACTTTTCAGATTAGAACGGGTTGTGTGAACGACTGGAAGATTGACCGAGTGATACTTATGGAATCGCCAAATAAAATTTCTAATAATGATAATTGTAAATTTTTATTTGAAGAACATCTTTATGTTAAATTTTGTACTCGTTATGTTAAATAGAAGATTTGAAATTGTTGATTTAACATTATCAAATTTATCGATCAAATCTTAAAATTTGAATAACAGTGAATTTCTACTTAAAATAGATAAAGAAGGTTTTTGGTAACACTTCAAGTCTATTTTTTTTTTATTAAAATAAAACAAAATAAAAAAGAAAACT